TTTCCAGTTTTTGTTGCTTTTCGTCTCTCTTTCCTGCTCATAGGGCCCCCTTTAATAATTCTTGCAGAGAAGGTTTAGTGTTCACGAACTCCTTTAGGTTTTTCTGGTCTTGGAAACTCTTTATTTCTCCTTCTATTCTGAATGACAGCTTTGCCAGATAAAGGGTTCTTGGCTGCATATTTTTCCCAGTTAGCATTTTGAATATATCATCCCACTCCCTTCTGGCCTGCCAAGCTTCTGTGGATATGTGTGCTGCTAACCTTATGTGTATACCTTTGTAGTTAAAGGCAATTTGTCCCTAGTTACTTTCAGAATTTTCTCTTTATCTTTGTATTTTTCGAGTTTCACTATGGTATGTCTTGGGGTTGACCGGTTTTTGTTGATTTTGAGAGGAGTTCTATGTGCCTCTTGAACTTGAATGCCTGTTTCCTTCCCCAGATTATGGAAGTTCTCAGCTATAATTTGTTCCAATAAACCTTCCCTTTTTTCCCTTCTCTTCTTCTTGGACTCCTATGATATGGATATTACTGCGCTTTATGGAATCGTTGAGTTCCCTACATCTATATTTGTGATCTAATCGTTTTTTTCCTCTTCTTTTCAGCTTCATTATTTTCCATAATTTTATCTTCTATATCACCTATTCCTTCCTTTGATTCTTCTATCCCTATTGTGATTACATTAAGTTGTTTTTGCATTTCAGTTACAACATGTTTTTATTTCAGCCTAACTAGTTTTTAGATCTTTTGCCTCAGCGGCAAGGGTTTTTCTAGTCTCTTCTATGCTATTTTCATGCCCTGTTAGTTTCTTATGACTGTTGTTCAGTATTCTTGTTCAGATATATTGTTTATATATGTTTTGAGCAAATCCCTGGCCGTGGTTACTTCTTGATCTCTCTTTTGGGGAACATTCCTCCATATTGTCATTTCTCTAGTTTTCCGTCTTTTCCATGTTATGAAAGCTTGTTATGTTTCCTGCTCCTAGGAGTAACACTGTATTAATAAGGGATCATACAGTGTCCAGGGCCTGGTGCCTTAGTAAGTATTTCTGGTGTATGATGTGTGCAGTCTCTACTGTTGTGATTTGATTGCTCTTTCCCCACATCAGTCCTCTGCAGAGTTCCTCCTTGCTTGCAGTGGAGTGTGTTTGGGCCTTTATAACTAGGTGTGTTTGATTTGTTTGTTAAAACAAGCCTGATTTTTAAAAAGAAAAAGCCTATTTCAAAAATAGAGAAAAAGAAAAGGAACAAAAACAAACAAGCAACCAAAAACCTATATGCCTGATTCCAATGAGAAAGAGAGAAAGAAAGGAAGGAAGACCTGATCCAAAAAAATGAGAGAAGGAAAAAATAAAACCCAAACAAATGAACAAAATCTATAAGCCTAAATTAAAAAAAATCCCAGTCCTATTTCCAACAGAACCGAAGCTGAATCTTTGGAGCACGCTCTGACTTGGTGCATGTGGTCTATCTGTGTTGGTCCTCTGGGGAAGAGACCTGCTGTGCTTGCTCAATGTCAGACCTGTACTAATCAAGATGCCCCTGCAGGATACAGGGTGGTCTGGGTTTGGTGTAAGTGGCTCCACCCTCCACTGGTGGTGCCGTATTGCTCACTGAAGCTTGTTATGTGGCATACACTTGTTACAGCATGTTATATAATCTGCTTTAACTCTCAGATAATAGAGGTAGCTACTTCTATAAGTCTTAATGCAAAACCAAGGAAACAGAGATTCAAACAAGTTAAGTAACTTTTTAAAGCTCACACCATCAGTCAATAGCACAGCTGAGATTTGAATCCAGAGTCTGACTCCAGAGCCTTCACTACTGTTATAGATCATGGGGGATAGAAGTTACACTTGAATCAGCAGCTAGGCAAAGTAATAATCACTTCTCACAGTGGTTACCATTGAGCCAGTGGAAAGAGGTTTGAGTGGACAGCCTGCCTTGTGTTTAGGGTATACAGCAATCTCAAGGGTAAGATATTTCCTACCCCACACCTACTTCCCTTCCTCTTATGCACATATTCAGTCTGAATGACAAATGTCCTTTCCAGTTGATCAAGAATGTATTCTCTTCCTAAAGTTATGTTGAATATAATCTGAACTCAATCACTACATTGACCCTCAAAATGGGAGTCTGAAAAAGGCAAAGAGGTTCTTTAGGTGCGGGATCAGAGCAAAATATTCAGACAGTTACGGGTTTGAATCCCAATTTGCTCTTTTACCTTGGGAAAATTAATTATTTTGAAGCTCAGTGTCCTCAACTCTGTAACAATAGTACCAACTCTCCTAAGCTTATAGAGAGGGTTAAATGCATAGTGCTTAATAAATGATAAGAATCCTACTTGGTTTGTTAGGAATATCAATTCTGAAGTCATCACACCTAGCAAAGGATGAGGTGTGCTTTACTGAGGAGTAAGTTCTAAGAAATAATGCCACAATGCACAGTCTGGGTGGGGCTTCTCTTTGCACTTGTCAGTTCAAGTTCTCTCTTCAACTGGGGAGACTTTGGGATTCCTCCTTCTCTGCCTGAGGCTAGATGCATGCAGGTCTAGACTCCTGGGGGAAGTGAAGTCCTCACTTTGACTTCAGGTCTAAGCTGTGTTCTTCAGTCCAGCTTCTCTAGCAACAAAGCCCCACTATTAATTCATATCTACCTTCTGTGTCTATTTCTCAATTCATTCACAGAATTTGACAGTAAAGTCTGTCTACAGTTGAGCCAGTGTGGTGGAATGAGAGATCATAACGTCAAACCAGACCACCTAAATTGAACCCCAGATGTACGTCATACTAGTCTGTGACCTTGGGAATGTTTCTACCCTTTTCGGTGTTATAGTTTCTTAATGGTACTTAATGGTACTACTTGCAGGATTTTTGTAAAGTCTGAGGTAATATACATAAAATTTTTAGACCAGTGCCTGGTACTCTCTTAGCACTAAATAAGCATTGTAAAAAATAACATATCTGGAGAATTTGTGTCAAAGTAAAGGCCAAAAATGAATCCTACTTCCAAGCCCCATCTTTGCTGACCCCAGTCAAGCTCTGCCACCATGAACCACAAACTGATTATATCAGGGCTATTTGTGACTCCTTTCTAAGATCTCCCCACCTTTGGTAGCTATTTTGAAATGTCTCTTAAATGTCACAACTCCACAGGGGATCTATCTACTCTAAAAGTTGAATTCCCATGACATTCCATGTCCAGCACTATGTTAATGCCTGTGATATATGATAAACTAATATAGAAGGGTATACTAACTCAGACAAAAGTAGAATTTTAATCAACATGAAAATAAAGTTAGCATTAATTTATTAAATCCTGACCATAAATTTTAATAAGCTTTCCCCATCAGAAGCAAAATGAATTAAATAACAATAAAAGCTTATAACATGCCTGACTCATGAAGGAAATTCACTGCTGCTAAATTCAAATCTAACATTTTGCCTTATAATTTCAAGAAAAAAGTAGGCTGTATCAGGTTAGTTAACTTTGTAACATAAATTTATTTAATTTCAAGATTTATATTATTTGTGTATTTTCTTCTACAATTAATTGATTTTGGAACATGTTATTCCATGCAACACTCAACCTATGAGAGAAGGAATTACAAATATATAGCATACCTCTAACCCTTATGGCTTCCTAAGCCAAGTTGATATCACTAGTTTTGTCGGCACACTTTTCAGTTCTGCCCTGATTTGAGCCTTTATACTCAACATAGTGTTTCCAGCAAGAGTCACTATTAAGAAACTAGAGGGATAAGCAACAAGAAGCCTATCTGCCATTCTACATTAGACAGCGCTTTGAAATCACTCTACATAAGGATTAAGAGGTGGTAGCCTGGAGTATAGGCTTTCATGAGACTTAAGCTTGGCCTTGAAAGATGCATAGAACAGGAGGGCTCATAGTTGTAGAAAAAAAAAAACAGTAGAAATTCCACATAAAGGACTAACATAAATAAGGCGACAAAATGGGAATTAAGCTTGGTAAATCCAGGACACCAAGAGGAGACTGGCTTGCATCAGGTAGACAATGTAATGATAAATGAAGTTCAAATTCTTTCATTTGTATTTTCATTTATATTTGTATTTTCATTTGTATTTCATTTGTCAATTTCATTGACATTTTCACTGTCAATAGGGCTCAAAGGCAATTGTACCATTTTACCTTCTGTGGACAACCACTGGTATTAAAAAATAGAAATGCACACGACCCTTTTTCTATCATTAAAATGTTAAAAATTTCTTTGCAAAATATCATAAGAAACTTTTTGGTTTTGTGACAGCTGGTAAAATTATTGAAAAGGGGAGGGGGCCAATGGTAATCATATATTATTTACTGAAACCTTTTTAGTACTAAGCACTTCACATGAATTATGCCATTTAATCCTTTCACCATCCAATTACAAAAACTGTATTTTTCTCCATTTGGCAGATGAAGAAACGTTTGCCTAATATCAAGATAGTGTCTTCCAAATTTTGTTTTGCTGTTTATATTTCATAACCAATAGCAGACATGTATGGAAAAATTAACCCTATATGCTTAACACAATTATTTTAAAAAATTAAAAAATTATTGGATATATATATATGCCCAGTTTTAACATGTAAAGATATTTAACATGTAAAGACATGTAAATACATGTAAATGTACTGTTAAATACATTTGATGACCTCTTTTATTGGCTATGAGTTCTTATAAATGTGTACACTAATGGATTAAAATTATTAATGTGTTTTAGAGGTAAAAATTCATCACATTAGCCTCTTTGAAAGTTATTATTAGGAATGAAGTATGCACTCATTTATTTTTACTCATCTTTCATAAACTATTTGCCCCAGCTAAGGATAGGTAAGATTTTCCTCAACTAGAGTTGAGTAAATGTACTTAAACTTCAGGTAATAATAAGCACTTAAAATTCTAAGATAATAGATATGTTCATAAGAGAATTATAGTATCCTATTAGAGGACTAGTTTATATTTTTGTTCAAAGTAAACAACTTACCTTGGAGGTACAGTTCAACAACTGTAATGTGCCCTGGGAAACTCTTGATAAGTGGAGATTGAAATCCTCACTGTTATTCACTTTGACAAAGTGCTTCAACTTGTGAGCAGCACGATATAAAAACACAGCTTCCTATTACAGAAAAAATTAGAAGGGTCGTGGTTCAAATAAAATATTAAGAAATGACAAGCTTTAGTAAGGAGCCTAAAGCCAGAGCTGTACCAAATAATGCCTGCCTCTGCCCCAGATTTCTATCCCAGTTAATCAATGACTGACAAATAACTAGACTAAAACTGTTTAGCTCCTAAGTGACAGCCGGAAGTACCTAGAATTTGGCGTAATGATTATTTTACTTCGTAAAGTCTCCTTTCTTTATAATATACATTTATAATCTTATCACTTCTGAGTGAACATATAGTAAGATTATTCAATTTTAAAGGAGATAACCATAGGAGAAGGCTTCCGGAGCCAACAGTAATGAAAGGTATGTGGTTTCTCTTATTATTTTTGTACCTTTTGAGCTGTGGATGAATTGCTGGCAATAAGAAAATAAAGGTCCATATTCACCTCAAACAAGTCTTTCAAATATTTAAAGTAAAAAAGTAAACTAAAAAGAATTTATGAATATACTCTGAGATACTATGAGGTTAACTCAACTACTGTGAATTTTTAAAAGGCTATTGAATATCATACTAGTTTCTGTGGAAGGAAACGACACAGACTTTTGTCGTAAGGTTTGTAAGTTGTAATATTCCACCAACCAGAGGTAGTAGTTGTTTGAAGATAAGCAAATATTGAAAGAAAACATTTCAAAGTCCTAAAAGTAAATTATACTCATGGCTTATGTTTATGTACATGCAATCACTCTAACAAATATTTTGCCACAGAAGAATTTCAGAAATAAGGGATATGTGTGTCTTTGAATTCAGCAGGTCTTCTAGCAGTTTCAAAGTGAAAATTGAAGTGCTAAAATAGAAAAAAAATATTTAACAAATAAGCATAGGGCTTTCTGTAGAATAAAGTATAAAAGAAGACCACAGTATATATAATTTAATAGGTCAACGGGAACTGTCTGATTAGGACCAAAAGAATATGCTATGAATGTAATCAATATAATTATCTCTAACAGACATACAAATAATATAAGCTTCTATAAAGTCAAGCTTGAATGACATATAAATTTCAAGTAATTATTATTACCTTATTATCATCACATGCATGTTTTTTTAAAACGTTAGGTTCATTATTCGGGCAATTGGTACGATTTTTTATCATGGTGTCCTGTAGAAAGTAATTATATAACAGTATGGTTAAATTGGGGATTTTTCTAATATGTAGCAATTTATAAAACAACATTATAATACTTTGTCTTAATATATGCATTTTAAGGAAAATAACTTTAACCTGGTTCAGCTGACTAGGTATAAAGAATAGTTTTCTGTAGTTGAAGAGTAAACAAATATATATACAAACCCTCACGTATTTAGAGCTTCCCCCAGACTCCATAATTTAATCCCAGAAATAACTGAAAGAATCTGGTTCACTTGGGGAAATAAAAGTACCTATTTCAGAAGTTATGTTATGTAGACAAAATACTATACTATACTGTATATTTATAACTGTATATTTATACTATATTTATAATATAGTATAAATATTATACTATATTTATACTATAAATTTTGAAATCATGAAGTTGAGATGCATTTAAGAGGTTTTTCAGTCCAGTTTCCTGCCACTATAAAATGGCAAAAAAGAATTTACATTAAAATAAGAGAAAACCTCTTGACACAGTGAAATTGTAATTTATTCTACACAGCTTTTTTAACAATCCAATTTGGGATGCTAAGATAGAACTTTGATGAGAAACAACGGGATTGAATGTGTATATTGTCATGTAGAGTACAAAGGCAGATAGTCCATGTTCATTTTTCATTTCTAAGGAATGTAGTATTAAAAGTTGGTGATTACTTGAATCAAGAATTTAGTTGAGGTGTTAGGAAGAACTTCCTAAGGATTCAGATTCTCTTACGCACAGGATTGGACTATCTGTCAAATAAACTAGCAATTCCATGCTATGAGAGCTTCTAGAAAGACTTAAAGTAACCTTAGCCTATATGTTCTCACCAAGGAAACAGGAGAAATAGAGTAATGGCAAGCTTTAGTCATGGGCTTCTCTCAGAAAAGCGTGCATTACTCCAGTCACCTGCGAAAAGCATAAATGGTCTCTGGGTATATCCTGACTTTAACTGTATATACTATCTGCTATACCTGCAGGAATTAGTGTCTGAACATTCATTTAATCACTCAACACTTACTATCAGCCAAGTGCAAGGTCCCTGCCAAGCCCTAACGAGAAAAACAGACTAAGAAAACACAGTCCCAGTTTCTTGTGCCATTTGATATAAAGGGCAGATGCTGCATCTCTTGGACATGTTTACATCACTTCTTACCCTTGGAAAAGTATGCTTTTGTAAACAGAATATTTGTTAGTGCCAACCACCACAGTTATACTGAAAATGTCTCAAGTGCAAATGGATATGTTTTCTAACACCATTCTCATGTCACCATGATACACATTCCTGAAGAGGCAATGGAGAATTGATATTTGCCTATGAAATCATTTTCCTATGGATATCCATTTAATTCCAAAAAAAAACCCAATAAATCATATATACATTTATTTCTCTTTGATAAAATGTAGAGCTTTTTTTTGGGTCATGGAATTATTTTAAAAAAGCTATAAAAGAGACTCCATAGAAAACAAACAGGGTTGCTTAGGGGAGTTGGGTGGGGGGAAAAGCTAAATGGGTGATGGGTACTAAGGACGGCACTTGTGATGAACCCTGGGCGTTCTACATAAGTGATGAATCACTAAATTTTACTCCTGAAACTAATAGTACATTATATGTTAAGAACTTGAAGAATTTAAATAAGGACTTGAAGCATTAAAAAAAGAAAAAAAAAAGGCAAATATGCGGCTAATCTATGATGTTTTCCAATTTACCAAAAATATATAAAAAGATGTACAATTAGTACATAATTAGTACATTTCTTGGATCGTTTTAACAAATTGCCTGGCACATGAATATCTGAAAAGCCATTTGGTGAAGCCATTGCTCCTGGTATTAAAAAAAAAACAACTCATTGATATGTAGTTACATGCTTGTATGCATATATACATACAGAACGGTAATGTTATACCAGTTGATTTGTTTGCCAAATGTTTGTTATAGTATATAAAGAAGTAACTATACAGTTAAAAGGTTGACTCCTATAGAGGTAACAATTATTGACTTCAGTGCATTTTATGAATACATTAACAGGTGTACATGAGTGCCAATTACAGTTGGTTTCTGAAATTGTTTTTATTCAGGCTTGATGAGAAGGATGGCTCAGACTAAGGTCAATAGAATCACGGAGTTGAAAAAAACCTTGGATGCCTATCTCATGAGTTACTTTACTTGATTTACTTTATCAATAATAATTTCTTATAGGCATCATGACATATTTGAAGACTTCTTCATATTTATTATGAATATGTAAAATCAAAAAAAGAAAAGCCAAGATCACATTGACTTTGAACTGCAATATTTTCCAGTATGAAACATGTTATATGAATTGTTCTAAAAATACATAATGCCCTTTCAATTATAGACTTACATGTTTTTCATTTCAGTATAATTTTATTCTTTGAATTCTTCTATTATATTTGTAACAGTAGCTTCTTCAGAAACACTAAATGTATATAAAATGTATTTTCTATTTCACCTTTTCTTTTTATATATTTATCTTTGATTTTTAAAAATCTCATTTTTTTGTGGTTTTCTCCCCCATGTCTTCCATATGCCTGTTCTAACACAGCACTTATTTCTGGCTTCCATCTATCCTCCATTCTTCCCCTAAACCTAAAGAACTCACCCTAATTTTCACTATTTTTCTCTTCTCTTACATTGTATTATTTTTAGATCTTCTTATTTTGGTCTTTTACAAAGTGTTAAGAAGAAAAATTTTGACGTTTTCTACTGCTTTCATGGATAGTTCATCTTTGACACGAATTCATTTTTCTCATCTATGTATTCATTTGCTTATTTATGTGTTCCTTTGTTCATTTATTTTGGTAGTATCAATGCATAGTCTCTTTATTTTCTAGTTAGTATCAATGCATAGTCTCTTTATTTCCTGGTTATCTTTCAAAAGGATGCTAAAGTAAATTAGATGATTTTTCAGCCAATATTCAACTTTTCCCTCTACCCTATCAGAGGATGTATTAGTTTCTTAGGGGAACTGTAGACAATTGCCAAAAACTTGGTGGCTCAAAAAACCAGAAATTTATTCTGTCACAGTTCTGGAGGTCAGATGTCCAAAAGGAAGGGATCAGTTGGAGACTCTAGTTGAGAATCCATTGTTTGCCTCTTCTTTCTTCTGATGGCTACCAGCATGCTTTGGCATTCCTTGGCTTGTGGTCACATGGCTCTATTCTCTGCCTGCAAGTTCATCAGCTTATTTTCTATGTATTTGTTAAATCTCCTTTTTCTTCAAGTTTTTATTTAAATTCCAATTAGTTAACATACAGTGTAATATTACTATCAGATGTGATGTAAGTGATTCGACACTTATATACAATACCCAGTGCTCATCACAAGTCAACTCCTTATTTCCATCACTCTTTAACCATCTTCCCACCCACTTATTCTTTATCCATTCATCAGTTTATGGACATCTGAGCTCTTTCCATAATTTGGCTATTGTTGATAATGCTGCAATAAACATCAGGGTTCATGTATCCCTTAATTAGTGTTTTTGTATTCTTTGGATAAGTAACTAGTAGTGCAACTGCTGAATTGTAGTATATTTCCATTTTTAACTTTTTGAGGAAGTTTCATACTGTTTTCCAGATAGGCTGTACCAGTTTGCATTCCCACCCCTATCTTTCTGTTATAAAGACATCTGGGATGGCATTTAGGGCCCATAATGAGATAATCTCATTATGTCAAAATTCTTAATCACATCTGTAAAGACTCCTCATAAATTTCTAAAGATTTGAACCTGATATCAAGTGGCCATAACCTCCTGTAGAGAATAACTTCCCTGCCTATTGATGTTGAGTTTGACCAAAATACTGTGCTTTGGATAGTGGACATTTGCAGATGGGACAAGAGCAGATGTGCTTGAAATGTTTTTGCACAACTGAGTTTGGCTACTTGCACCATGTTTTTCAGCATGAGGAGGATAAGCCTCTGGTAGAAGCTTGTTCATTAGCTATTAGTGCATAATAAATGATCACAAAAGTTAGTAACTTAAAACAAGAAACACTCTTATCCAATTGGTGTCATAAAGAGGTAGTTCTCTTCTTAATTTTTCTTCCCTACCCCCCGTCCCTTTAGGAGAGAAGGCCAGTATGGTTCACAGGGAATCTTCATGGTCACACGTGTTTTAAATGAACTTATGTCTATTGAAGATAAGTGATTCTGGTCATCAGCTGCATAATTGATTGCTATTTCTTTTCTATCTTCCTATTGATTTTGTAGGACAGGGCTGATTCTATGGATTGGGGTTTTGATGCAGAAAATAAAGATTCAGACTCATACCTTGCCATTTTCTGAAAATGAACTTGTTGCCTACAGAAATAATCTTCATTTCTGATCATCACTATCACAACTTATCCATGATCCAAAGCTTTGTCCTATATAAAAATTCATTCAGAGGACCTTTTAAAAGTAAGACTTATTTTTGGTGAAATCTGTACTCCATATGAATTTTGAAAAGGTGTATACTGCTCTTGGAATCCTACTTTAATTGGTACAAATTTTACCATTTGTCAGGTGACTTAGCAGATTGTAGTATGAATTGGTAACTCATTCTTAGTGTAAATAAAATGTCATTCATTTATTCTTCAATCAAAACTTGTTGAGCATCTACCATGTGCTTTACAGTAGTACAGACAGAACTGTCATCAAAATTATATATGGTTCCTACCTTCAGGAGGTTTACGCTCTGGTGGCATAGACAGACATTAATCCAATAACCACAGTCAAATCCATACTTGATAATTGTTATGAATAAAAAAGGCATATGCAGCCATGAAAATCTATACAAGAAGGATTTTACTTAGGAACCTCAGTAAAGACTTTCTTGAGAAAGAAACTTTAACTGAGATCCGAACCATGAATGAACTAAAGAAAGAGGAAATGGAAGAGGATCTGTGATGTAGAAAACTGCATGAGTGGCTGCATTTAAATGGGAGGGAACATGACAGATATGCTTCTAGAAAAGAAGAG